ACCCAGGGCTGCTTAACCACTGAGCCACATCCCCAGCCCTTTTTATTTTATTTTTTAATTTTTTTAAGTTGTCAATGGACCTTTATTTTATTTATTTATATGCAATCCTCCACACTGGCCAGGTTCTTCTGTGCAGAGAGTTGTAGTGAGGCTTGTGCCAGGAAGACACCCCACCACAGAAACCCTGAATTCCCTTGTGATGGAGCCTTAGATCAGGGTGGACAAAACTGTCTGTAGTGGGCTAGTCAGTATTTCAGGTTTGCACACTGTGTGGTCTTCACCTCAGCTACTCAGCTCTGCCCTTGCCTCAGAAGAGCATCATAGACAATATGTAAATGGCAGATCTTGCTGTGTTATAATGAAATTTTACAAGTGTTAAAATTGGAATTCCATGAGATTGTCATGTGTTATGAAATATCACCTGATTTTTTTAAAAAAACTGTTTAGAATATAAATGTCATCCTCAGCCTGCAGGCCGGATAAACGCAGGCCATGGAACTGGGTTTGACCCAGGACCTGGCCTGTCAGTCACACCTTAGCTGTTGGGGCCTGCCTGACTGCAGCAGAAGGCCTGTCCCCACAGGTGTCCTCACAGCCCTGTGTCCAGCCGCTGCACTTTGATCTTGTGTGCATGGTGGTCTCACTGGATTCTGAGCTGCTGCTTTTTGATTCTGAGCTTCTTGAGAGGAGGCCCATGGGCTGCAGTCATCTTTGCGTGCTTATTACCTTAACACCCGGACATATGATGGGTATTCAGAACATACTGGGCTTGATTCATGCTTAGAAATGTGCACTGCCATTTCTGCTGCTCCGATGACAGGCAGCAGGTCTTGCCGTGTGCCTCCTGGGGGCATTCACGGTGGTACCTTTCCTGACTCGGTGCTATGTAGCAGAAGCCTTTCCAGGGTCATTCATTCTGATGTCCTGTGTGTCTCAGGCTGGGCTTCAACATCTGATCTGCAGAGCCGTGCTGCGTTGGTGTGGAGTTGTAGCAGGTCATGTTTGCTGGGCCCGTGCTGCTACGTTCCAGGCAACTCCAGTTTCCCCCAGACTTCTGATAACTTTCTGGTCATTTTCTTTGTTCTGTATAGCTCAAACAAAACGAAGCAGCAACATAAAAACACTCCCGTGCTTTCCTCCACATGCTGTGTCCTAATGCCCATCAATACTGTCCACCCAGGCCTCCAGGCCAGAAAGCAAGCTCACCAGAGCCTCCTCTTCTCTGCACTGCCATATCCTCTTGGTGGCTAAGGCTTATCAGTTTTTAAAATAATCTTTGGAATTTAATTTCTATTTCTTTTGGTCTGGTGGAAGCCTTAAGTGTTTCTTGACTCTTTCAAAATATAAATGAATCAGACACAGCATCGTTACCGTTTACCTGAACCGGCAGGCCTCCTCCTTCAGTCTTCTTGCAGTTGTCAGCGCTGAATGGTGAGCGTCATCATGCAATCAGACCCGCCCTCAGTTAGGACCCCTGCTTTTCCCACCATCATCTAGGTACAGCCACCTTCCACTCAAGGCACACCAGATTGTGTGGGACCTTGGTGCCTTCACAGATGCATCTCAGACTTCAGAAGTTGTTTGGATCTTAAAAGGTATGTGTAACACATCATCCACTTACCATGCCAGCCCTCCATGGCAAACACATCCCAGGGTGTGTGTGTCCAGTGGAACAAACTAATCCTTTTGGTTTGTTTACATTTTGCTGTCAAACGAGTTATAGGAAGATGTTTTCGGAGCTTTTTGATTTCAGAGTTTGGACTCAAGAGATTGTGGCCTTAGTTATCCAAGGGTCTACCTGATGGAGATTGGCTCTTCCCAGTTCTAAGGCCCATTTTGTGCATCTCTTCCCAGTTCTGCAGTGAGCAAGGTCATATTAGCAGCTGACATCAGTCATGGTAGGAATTACCCGTGGACCTCAGTAAATGCCCCACAACATGCTTTGGTGAGTGCATTGTCAAACCTCCAGTGCAGCACTGTATGTACCTGTTGTATCTACAGTGCACTGGAACAGTCAAGCCCTGTCTATCTGTGCTACATCAGATGGAGGGCAGGGCTTTCAAGAAGGCACAGGAGGTGAGCGTGCAGGTGATGAGGAGGTGGCAGTGAGAGACATTGGAGAGGCAGACACTGTGAGCTCACCCAGCTCATTTATTCCCAGAACAGGTGACCCTGGGCAAATCACTTGCTTACCCATTTAAAAGTAAATATTGGTCACCTCCCTCTCCTGGGTGGTTGTAAGGATTAAATTAGATATATATACACCCCATGCCTGACTTAGATGGACAGAAAATGTCACTCTTTGTGTCCTACAAGCCTTTCTTTTTCTTCTGGAGTATTTTTGTTTGTTTGTTTGTTTGTTCTTTAAGTCTCTGCAGACATGACCCCCATTCTCTAAAGCCCGTGTGCACACAGAGGTCAGCACTGGATGCTCTTAGTGTCTCTCTTACTCATCCTTAGCCATGGTCTTACCAAGGCATGATACTTGAATCTCTTATGCCCATTTGTATAAGTTGCTATAACATGCTTTTTTCTATGAAAAGCTTCAGTCATTTACTTGATACAGATTTATTGAACATCCATCATATGTTAATGTACTAGGTGTGGGTGATGGTGAGATTACTAAGACACAGACCCTCCTGTATCCTGTGGGGTGATGGATAAATGTGGGAGATCAACCTTGCACGTGACTGAGTCACACTCCCCTGCTGGGTGCTGAGGCACTCAGTCACAGAAATGTGTTAGAGCTTTCCCCACTCTTTTTGGATCCGAGGGTCGGTGTCTCGTGCATGGGTGTATCTTGCCACAGCCCTATGGGTGAAGCCCCATGGGTGAAGCTATGCTCACCTGTTTCTTTGTAATATAACCCTTTGCCCTGTTTGGGATAGAATCTTCCATGGAAGTGCCTTGTGTGTGTCCCCTTCTCTTACTGTGCCCTTGGGTGTGGCCTACCCAGGTGTCAGTCAACCTGCTGACAGTGAACATCATGAAGATAGACTCAGCCCCCTGAAACCTGACCCCTTGCCTCATTTGAATAGCTTCTCCTTGATAAAAGGGGTCAGCGCATGCTCTCGCTCGCCGCAGCTACCCCAAAGAAAAAGGTATTTGTGTCTCTTGTGTGGTTATTTTGCGCAGTCCACTTAGCCCAGTTTACCTGGAGTGACCCCTGAGCCCTTTTGAGAGAACAGAAACCCGGCAGATAAGCCAAAAGGAAACCACTATTGATATGCAAGCAGAGGGCTTTTTCAGTGGTAGAGGGGAACTCAGGTCATGGCAGCAGGCAGGAGAAAGTGGTCCTCTCCATGAGGATGGTACGGCATGTGGACTGGAGGTAGCTGGGAAGTGCCCCTGCTCTCCTCATCCCATCACAGTCTCTGGTGGGGTTGTTTATCAAGACTGGACTGGCCTGCTGCAGGACAGTATACTTTACCACAGTGCTGCTCATGATGAGGCTGGGCAGTTGTTACCAATTGCATCTGTCCTGGAAAACCAGGTGCTCTTTACCTGGGTTAAGAATGTCCAGCAATGATGTTTAGGGGTGATACTTTGGGGGCGGGGGGCGGGGGCGTGTACAGCGTGAAAATGCTTAAGTTGAATCCTTGAGAAAACTTGAGGGGAAAGAATGTGGTGTAGAACAGCAGGCAAGTTTGAGTGGTGGTGCCAGACCCCCAGGGAGGAGCCACTCTGCTGCACATCTGTCCTGAGCAGAGCCTTTGAAAGACCCTCATCCAGTGATGAGCTCTGCAGTGAGGAGTCAGATGCCTCAATGAAAAGAGTGTTTACCTTTGCTAGATTTGAGTGGCTTCTGTGTGTTAGGGTATAAAACTCCTGAGCACTGGGATTCCACCTCTTGGGTCCCCTTCTTCCTCCGGGAGAAGTCCTTTCTGCTGTCCTTTAATAAACTTCTAATTTCTACTCTGACCTTGAAAAAAAAAAAAAAAACTCCTGAGCACTTCCGTAGAACCCCAGATGTCATTTCATTTATGTCATATCTTTTTTTTTCTTAAATATTTATTTATTTATTTTAGTTTTTTTAGGTGGACACAATATCTTTATTTTATTTTTATGTGGTGTTGAGGATTGAACCCAGTGCCCCGCGCATGCCAGGCGAGCGCGCTACTGCTTGAGCCACATCCCCAGCCCCTATGTCATATCTTAAGGTCATTAGGCATTTGGTCAAAGGTGGTGTAATCTCCAGGTCGAGATTCAGAACACATTGTCCTGTAGTCTTAATTCTGTGATACTGAAAATCAAGCAGCACTTTTTCTGTAGAAAATAGGAGTCTTTGGGAAGTCAACAGAAAGATAAAACAAGTGGATATTTTGCGTTCTTAATGGTTTATGCTTCATGGTCCTCCCCCCGCCAGTGTTTTATTAAGAAAATTTCAAACATGCAGAAGAAATCAAAAGAATCATGCCCACCAGCAAGATTCTACAGTTAACGTTTTACTGTTTGCTTTATTACATACCTGTCCATCTCTGTCCCTCTCTCTAGTCGTCCATCGGTCTCATTTTTTAATGTATTTCAAGTAAGTTCACAGTTTTTCTGAGAGGACTTACCTTTGTTACCCCCCCATGCTGTGATCAATGTGTCAACATAGTTTATACAGATGTTTTCAGCCTGACCATTTTCCCTGCTTCTAGAAACTAAGGTTGCCAGTAATCACTGTCCAATTATTTTTTAAAAAGTCTGGTAAATAGATTTAAACCTTATTAGTGCCCTTCTTTGCAATTGCTTTATAATCCAATTATAATTTTTATCAAAAATAATTCAGAGTTTTAAGTTATAAGTCATCAAAAATAATTTAGTGGGGCTGAGGATGTGGCTCAAGCGGTAGCGCGCTTGCTTGGCATGCGTGTGGCCCGGGTTCGATCCTCAGCACCACATACAAAGAGTTGTGTCTGCTGAAAACTAAAAAATAAATATTAAAAAAAATAATAATTTAGTGTTTTTTTAACATTTTAAAAATTTAAAGCAAGTATTTATTGCATTGTTTTCAGAGTGGAGAGATCTACAGACCAAGTCATCAAGCCAGTCAATGTGGGAGCTCTGTCAAAATGGGTGGGGAAGATCCCTCCAGATGTCTTACAAGATATGGCAGCGATTGCACCCATGCTTGCCAAATTGGGGTATGACCCTTATGCCAACCCACCCAACTACGGGAAGCCGGACCCCCGGATCCTCGAGAACACCAGAAGGGTGAGTGAGTGCCCCAGAGCAACTGGACACACAGTCGGACTCCAAGTGGCTTTTTCCTTATTTTAGTTCTAGCTTTTTTATGATCAAAAAATTGTTCTAAATTAGAGTGATTCTGCGCATGAGTGCTTTATTATCAGAAATCTGCATTTTAAAGACAATTGTAGCTGTTCCTGTGAACCATGGGGACAGCTCTTCAATGAGTGCCGCCCCCTTCTAGGAGTAGTACTCACATTGGAGAGATTCGTCCATAGCTAGTTCCCACAACTTTGCATAAAACGAGAATCATTAAGACTTACTTTTCAAGCCTTTTTTCTCTAAATCTAGTGGATACGTTCCTCTTAAGTGTTTGTATAGAGGAGGCACCACTTCTCGGGACCCAGTATGTGGGAAGAGTGGCTGAACAGGCAGACGCACGGACGCACCAGCCTTCCAGCTGAGGGATGGCTGCTGCCACGGGCAGTTAGCTATTCTTTGTACAGGTCAGGTTGGTGTTTTTACAAGCACTCTTCCAGAAAGGGCTCATCTTTGTGAATGCTGCTGCCATCTCAAGGCAGACCTTCCGCATTCTTTCCAACAACTGTTGTCCGACATCCCTGACCTCACTGTGCCATTTCAGCCATCTTCCAGGGTGTGGTGCCACAGCACTGAGCCCTTCACACTGGCTCCTGTCACCATCCACCTCCAGAGCTTTTTTCATGTTCTCTTGTGTGTGTCGGTGTCCTCCCCCATAGCCTTGTGATAGGTCATCTCTTTATTCTCTTCCTTTTGGTACTCTTAGTTGGAAACCTGGTGACAGTGAAATGTGTTTCCTGAGGCCATTCGCGTGTGGATCCCCTGCTCTTAGTCACTTTCAGTTCCTCCTTCGGTTCTTCATTTGTGGCAGTGTAGGAAGGGCTGTCTCTTGTAAACCATTGAATATGAAAATAAGCTTATTTTTAAGTAATCTTTATCCTTTTTATACTTACATATAAACATTTTTAATATAAAAATTTAAGTTCAAGCTGGCAGTGGTGGCACATGCCTATAATCCCAACTACCCAGGAGACTGAGGAAGGAAGATTGCAATTTTGAGGCAGCCTGGGCAACTTAGTAAGACCCTCTTTCAAAAAATAAAAAAGGGCTGGTGATATGGTATGGCTGTGAGGTGTCCCCCAAAAGCTCACGTGTGAGACAATGTAAGAAGGTGCAGGGGAGAAATGACAAGGTCAGTGAATTAACCTCTGATGGGATGAACTGGTTGGTGGCTGGAGGCAGATGGGGTGTGGCTGGAGGAGGTGGCTCACTGGGAGCATGGCTGTGGGGTAGATATTTTGTATGTAGAAAGTGGAGTCTCTCTGTCTGCTTCCTGATCACATTGTGAGCTGCTTCCCTCTTGCCACGCTCTCCCGCCATGATGTTTAGCCTCACCTTGGGCCCTGAGGAGATAGAGCGACCTTCCATGGACCAAGACCTCTGATACCATGAACCTGCAAATAAACTCTTCCTCCCCTACAGTTGTTCTGCTCAGATATTTTAGTCACAGCAGTGAGATAGCTAAAACAGCTGGGGTTGTGGCTCAGTGGTAAAGTACCCCTGACTCAATCCCCAGTACCTCCCTAAGTATACATATTTATAATAAAAAGTATTTTTTTCACTATATAAAATTAAAATGGTGGAAGAATGAAAATTATTTATAATATTACCTAGATACATACAATTCTTAATATTTTAGTATATTCCCTGCCCTCTGCATTTTATTAAATAAAGGTAAGATCATAATATATGTCTTCCTTTATGCACGCAGTTTCTGTCTAACTTTTTCCTATTAGTACTGATGGACATTTCCCATCGTGTGCCTGCTTTTTTACGCATAATGCAGTGTACCATCACAGGAGCCATCGCCAGTCCTTCCTGAAACATAGCAGTGAATGAACGAATAGATGAGCAAACAGAATACATCTCCCTAGTAAATGTCCCTAGTCCATCTTGCCGTTTTTCTCTTGTGTTTCTCTTTGACAGACGATGCTGTATCAAACATCTTTGAAATACTAAATTTTAGGTTTTTATTTACATTTAGACTAATAAAAGTAGGAATAAGCCAGGTCCAACCATCTGGGATTTTTTTAAGATGCTCAATATATCTTGGTAAGATTTTTAAAAAAATATTTATTTTTTGGTTGTAGTTGGGCACACACCTTTATTTTATTTATTTATTTTAACACGGTGCTAAGGATCAAACCCAGGGCCTCGCATGGGCTAGGCAAGTGCTCTACTGCTGAGCCACAACCCCAGCCCAAGATTTTTTTTAAAAAATACTTTCAAGCTGGAGTTGTGGCTCAGTGGTACAGTATGTGGTGCCTGGCATGGGTTCAATCCTCAGCACTGCATATTAATAAATAAAATAAAACGATTCATTGACAACTAAAAAATATTTTAAAAAATATTTTTAAATTACCAGCATAATAGAGGTGATTCTATTTTAGATTTTTGCTAATTTTAATAGGTTCCATTGATTAACATAATTGAACATTTTCTAGTTATTAGCTGTGTGTATATATTCTTTCATGTACTGCCTCTTGACTTTTAAAATGCTTTATGTGATTTAAAGTTTTGTGAACTACAGCTTGCTAAAAATGAAGCAGAAATCAGTCTAGCATCCTGCCTTCATAGTCTTGATTGCCTTTCTGTAACTGGTAATTTATAGCTTTCCTCTGCTGGGGGACTTTATGAACCAGGATACATGACTACATGGCATTGCAAAGGTTTCCCAGAGCAATAGCCAGTGTGGGTTCCCCACTACCATTGGCTTGGCGATGCTGCTCTCAGTGCTCCTGAGGGGCAGGTCAGGAAGCTGCTCTGATTTGAGTCCGTGTGACTGAAGAATGGGTTTCACACTGGTGACTGGAAGGGTTTCAGCGGACACTGCAATACAGCTTTTCTTTCCTTCTTTTTTGTCTTTGCCTGTCTCTTAACTGACAATAATTTTGAGGAAGAAAAGATAAAATGTGAACTATAATTGTATTTTGAGTCCTTTGTAATGAAGCACAACAGAGGCCATTGTGTGTCTTGAAATTGGGTTTCATAGATATTCTTATGTGATAGCTCATGGAATGGAATTACAAAAATTGGTAAGAAACCAGTGCCTGGGGAAGGGGTTGGTTTGCTCCCCTCTCTTTCTCTCTTCCTTTTTCCAGGAAGCCTAATTAACCATGGGTTCCTACTTTTTTGGATTATAAATTACTGCCCCAGGAGTCTGACCACTCCCTCTTGAAGTGTAACACCTGTGAACAGAATTACCTGTTTCTGTGAGTATGCTTCATGTTAGAGACTCTGCCTAAGGCCCTCAGCCACATAGGTTAGGAATTTTTTTTAAAAAGATGGAAAAGCCCTAATGTTAGAATAGGTCTAAGATGATGCCAAATAACCTGTAAATATTATGAGAAACTGTAGATCAGGGCTCAGAATTTGGAGTGTTTGTTTTCCTCTGTCCCCTCCCCACCTCTCCCTCGACCCCCCCCCCATGTCCTCCTCATGGTGTCCCCACCTCCCCATCCTCCGCATAAACTAAAGCTTGGAGCTCTCCTCCTGCCCCAGAGTGCTGCTTGCCGCCTCTCCAAGTCTGTTTGCTGCAACATTTACAGTTAGGCATCACCTATATCACTCAAGTCTAGGCTCTTCAGAGCTTTCTTCTGCCTGTGGCAACTCAAATGCTAATGTAGCCAGCATTGGTGGCCCTGGGTTTCAGCAAGTCCTGCTTGCAAAGAGACTTGATTGTCAGAGGTGGGCTCCAGAAAAGGAAGGTGGCTGAGGAAATGGTCCCTGATTTATGGGGTGAGGGGAGGAGAAAACTCACATTTGGATTAGGAATACAGAATCTCAGTCTCTAGGTTACAAAGACGGTTTTCATATTATTGTGGGGAGTCCAACAGTAATGATGTCTGAGTCAGCTCATTTCAGGGACAATTTGCCCAGTTTTGAATGGAAAGTCATGTGTTTTGTGGCTGTGTGACTCACATGGCAAGCTGGAAGTGAGTTGCTAACATGTTCCATGCCTTTTCCCACCGTGGTCTAACTCCAGAGTTGCTGCACAGTTTAATACATAGTGCCCTCTAGGTTCTCCTCAGCCTCTCCCTCCTCCATTGGTTCTTAAGCTTTTAAGATTTAGGAATTTATTTTAGAACCTAATAAAACCTGTGAATGCCTACCTCAAAAATGCAGACACATCCTGCACAGAATTCTACCTATGGTTTCAGTGGATTCATAGATGCCCCAGAAGCCCATCAGGTTAGGACTTCTGCATTGTGTAGTCTCCTGAATCCCACTTTCTACTCTGTGGCTCTTATCACCGTGATGGGGACCCTGTTTCCTATTAGGCCCCAGGTTCATATTCCAGCTGCTTCTGTGAAACTTCCTAGAATTTCTAAGGGGCCTCATGTGAGATTCAGTGTCCCAGATCAAAATTACTGTTCAGACTTGTTCCCTCACAGGCACAGCTAGATGGAATTGTCTTTGTGTGCACGTGAATGGCCTATTTCCCCAGTAAGCCTTCGTATTTCAGGTGTGTTGCTGATACACTGGTAACCTTGGTTGTTAAATTGGTTTCACAGCCTGCATTTTAAGTGGAGTATGGAATCCCTTACACTTAAAGTCATCACTCATCTGGCTGGGCCTGAACCGCCACTTGCTATTTGTTTTGTTTTTTAAAATATTTATTTTTATTTGGACACAATATCATCTTTATTTTATTTATTTTTGTATGTGGTGCTGAGGATCGAACCCAGGGCCTTGCACACGCTAGGCAAGCGCTCTACCACTGAGCTACAACCTCAGCCCTGCTATTTGTTTTTAATTGGGACCATTTGTCTTTGTTCCTTTGTTCTCTTTTCCTGAATTCTGTTGGGTTAATCTAAAATTTTTTAGATGATTTTCTTTTATCTTTTCTTGGATATTATCTCCTTCTTTTAGCTGTAATTTCTTGTTTTAATTAAGGTTGCTGTAGAACAAAACAGCTGCAAATCTTTCTGTAAAATTTGTCTCTGTTCTTTTCTGAAGATGCAGATTTCACCTGGGACATTTCCTCTTTGGCCTGATAACTTCCTTGAGCATACTCACAGTGAGCGTATGAAGGCTAGTAACTCTTTGGGGAGTTTTTTTGGTTTTGTTTTTTTAAAGCTGAAAATGCCTTTTTTCTTCATTATTTGAGAATATCTTTGCTGGACATAGAATTCTATGTAGACAGGGGGGGGTTTTTTGTATTATTTTACTTGTAACATTTGTTATTTTATTGTCTTCCACAATGTTTTTGATGTGAGGTCAGCTAACATTCTTATGAATGAAGAGTTATTTTGCTTTGCTTTGCTTTGCTTTGCTTTGCTTTGACTGCTATCTTTCGCTTGGGATAAGAATGTCCCCCAAAGGCTTATGTGTTGCAGGCTTGGTCCCCAGGGCAGCAAGTGTTCAGAGCTGGGGCTCCTAGGAGTGAGAGTACTAACCTCATCAAGGGGTTGATCTATCAATGAGCTGATAGCTGGATGGACTGTTGGGAGGTGTTTCTAGTTGAAGGGAGTGAGTCCTTGGGGATTGTATATCGTCTCTGGCCCCCTTCTCTTTCCCCAGCCCTTCCTGGGTGCCGTGAGCCGAGCAGCTTTCCCCTGCATGCTCTGCCATGATGCTTCTGCCTTGCTGCAGGTCTAAAAGCAGTGGAGCCAGCTGACCCTGGACTACTAAGACTTCTGAAACCACGAGCAGAACAGGTCCTTCCTCCTCCATGTGGATTTTCTCAGGTATTTTGTCCTGCAAGTAAAAGCTGCCAAACACATACTGTAAGATTTTCCCTTTGTATTTGGTTTTCAGCAGTTTAACAATAATGTACCAATTTGACTGATTCTTGCTTCTTCTGTTTCAGGTCAGGCATGAGCTTTGATTAGTTCTTAATTAACCTGTCTTTGAATTCCCTGGGTCTGCCTTCTGTGTCTAGTCTGCTGTTCAACTCCTCTGGTGACTTCTTCATTTCAGATTATTTTCCAGTCCTTGAGCTTCCTCTTTCTTCCCTCATTTTTTCTTCTTCCTGCATTCTTTATCATAGTCGTGATAACAGTCTTAGAGTCTTCATGCATGGCTCTCTGCTGATTTTTCCCTTAGTTATGGGTTTTATTACTTGCTTCTTCGTGACTTAGAAGTTTTGCCTTTATGCTGGACTTCTTGTTATAAATAGATAGCAAATGAACTAAACAATATTGTTTGTTTTATTTTCCCCAGAGAGCATGTTCTCCCCTCCTTCATGCAGCTAGGGTGAGGAAGGGAATCTGGCAGTTAGCTGAGCTGGAGCTGAACAACACCCTTAGCTTCAGTTTACCTCTGAATTCAAATGAGATTGTGGAGATTTGACCTTCAGTCCAATCCCTAGATTCCTGTGTGTTATAGGCAAGGGTCTCATTTCTTGATTTTCATCAAGATTTCAGCTGGGAGGAAGCTAGATTAGACCTTAAGTTGTTTCATCTCTCCAGTACAGCTGCAGCAGGACCCTGTACCCAAGCCACACCAGACTGGGAGATCCTCTGTGTCCAGCTTTGGTCCCACCAGCCATACTCAGCAGAGTCCCCCAGATACAGTGGTCAGGCCCTGAGATTTAGTTTTACATCTGGAGCTCCTCCAGATTCCAGATTCTAATCTGCGTAGCAGTTCACACTGTTGCTAAAGCTTAGCTTATTTCTTTTTGTCTAAGCAAAATGTTTTTATCTCTAAATTTGCCTCTCTGCCCACCTGTGCCCAGCCTGGCCATTCATGGTAGAAAGATACTTTGCTCAATATTCCTAAGAAGAACTTGTCCTTCTCTGGAATTTGATTCGTTTAGACTTCTTTCCATCCCTGCTCCTTGATGGTTCTAAGGAAAAATACGCAGTGGATTTCATCCAGTGTTTCCTCCTTGTTCTGATGAAAGCAGTGTCTGTTGAGGCCTGGGCTACGCCCAGAACAGAGCTCCTTGGAGTGCATTCGATTTTTTTAAGAGACCCTGTGGTCTCTTGTCCCTGGGTCACTGGGAGCCTCCTGCTGAGTTGCCTGCACTGTGTCCTAGGTAGGAACCCTTACCAACAGACTTTTTAAAAAATACCTTTGTTTTATTTATTTATCTTTATGTGCTGCTACAGGTCAAACCCAGTGCCTCATAAGTGCTCCACCGCTGAACCCCTGCCCAGCCCCTCAACAGACTCTTCTGCAAATCCCTTGGTCACAAGTTTTCCAGCCTTGTTCTTCTTAAGTTTTTTTACTTTTCCAGCCGAACCATTATCTACTGCCTCTTTTGTCACCTCCAGTGTGTCACAAAGTGACTACAACAGGGCCAGTACAATTAGTGTATACTCATAGTTTCTTCTTCCAGGCCAAACATGCAGTCACATGCTACTGGACTTCTGTGCCGAGCAGCAGAGGGCTCGGTGACCTCTGGGAGGCGCCCAGAAGGACAGTGATCCATAGGATTGGGTGATGCTGTACACTCCAGCCCCAGGGTCTCCTGAACAGCCTCGGAGGCACAGCAGCAGCAAGGCAGCTGATCACTTGCATAGTCTCCTCTTGTTCTGAACCTTCTCAGAATGTCACCCTTAGGACCGCTTGGTGAATGAGCTATCTGTTGTTTCCAAAACCCCAAGCAGCGCAATAGGTTTCGCTGGTGCAAAATTCTCAGCAAAATGTAAAGACTCGAGATCTTGAGCTTAATTAACTTTAATATGAGAGGCTGCATGGCTGTGAATTCCATTAGTGTTGTATTGAACCACCTGTAGGATCACACTTTGGGCTTATTTTTCAGAACTCTTGATCCAGTGGCTGTATGCTATAGGGGTCTGTTCAGGGCATTCTTAGAAGCTTCCTGGTACCGGGTCTCCGACCTGAGATAGCGGTTGAAATTGTGCAGTCCCCACTTCTTTTCCCTGTTCTGCAAGACACACAGAAGCAAGGCCACAGCCCTGGGTTCTCTCCTGCTGTTTCCACTGTGCGCTTCCAGTGCTGTTACTTGTTTACTCACAGCCTGTCTTTTGTGGGTATGTGTGACTGCACGTAATAAATTAAGAAGCTGTTTTGCCTCATTTACTATGAACTGCTCTTGTTCCACTGACCACTTTTACTTATTTAGTTAGTTACTTGTTGTTTTCGTGATGCTGGGGATCAAACCCAGGGCCTGCTTGGCAAGCTCTCTACCACTGAGTCAGCCCAACACCCATTTTCCACTTCTCCATTCCACCAGATCAACTCGTTCGTTTCTGGCCGTGGGGAAGCTGCTGTGCCTTGGTCCTCCAAGAGCAGTGGCCTGATTTCTGCCATTGCCATCTCACATGGGTCTCCTTCAATGAGAATCCCCTCCTGGCATTGTGTGGGGAGGGGGTTCATGCCAGCCTTGGACAGAGGTGGTGGTGGGAGTTGTCATTCATCCAGCACAGTGACCCTGCCCTCTAAGAGTCCTTCCAGACTTGTCTTGGGACCCTTTCCTGGGTTTCAGAAGTGGAATGAAGAGAAGAAGCATTGTCCCCCTGGCCAGGGCCCCAGGGCGTGAGGCTCAGCAGGTATGAGACGAAGGAAGCTCAAACATCAGCTGCATTTCCTAGGACTCCCTGTAGACAGATGGCCATGGACCAGTTTCTTCTGGCCATGTTTATGTGAGGAGGTGTTTGTTAGCAGTTTTCTGACCCAACTGTTGCGGATAAGAGTCGTATGAAGAAAGTTTACCCATTTTTTTCCTGCTTCTGAACATTGCTATGAAAGGACATTGAACTGGCCCTGTTGCAGCCACTTTGTAACACACTGGAGATGACAGAAAGAAGAAAACAGAAATCAAGGGCCTTGAACCTAGCTTCAGCCTGACCTCCACCTCCTCTCTAGACTTCCTGTGTTTTTGAGCTACTTTAATGAGGTATTCTGTTCCTCAAGTAAAACCAGCCCCTCAAAAGAAGAGAACCAGGTGTCAAGAGGGGTCTCACTTTCAAGTCCTGGTTCCCAGCTCCGCCCTGGCGGTGGATGTGACACGTCTCAGTGGGCTCCTGATAGGTCCCCCCACCCCCGCGCTTTTTTTTTTTTTTTTGAGAGAGAGAGAGAGTTTTTTTAATATTTATTTTTCATTTTTCGGTGGATATAACATCTTTATTTTTATGTGGTGCGGAGGATCGAACCTAGCGCCCCGCATATACCAGGCGAGCGCGTTACCGCTTGAGCCACATCCCCAGGCTGGTCCCCCTTTTTTTAATATTTATTTTTTTAGTTGTAGTTAGACATGATACCTTTATTTTATTTAATTATTTTTATATGGTGCTGAGGATCGAACCCAGCGCCTCATATGTGCTAAGCAAGCATTCTGCCACTGAGCCACAGCTCAGCCCCAAGGTAGGTTGACTCTGTTGTCTCAGTTTGGTTCCTGTGCCATGGTAGGACTGTTCTAACTATCACTGGATTTGAGGTATGATTTACCTTTAGTTTCTCATTTTTTTTATATGTGTGCTCAGACGTGACAAGCTTTGTATTCTAGTGGTTATAGTTAGAGAAATTCACATTCCATTGTCTTAACATTTGATGCCCCTTCAAACAGCCACCACAGAGCTAGGTGCTCTCCCAGCATGACAGTTCTTTTCCTCTCCTGTGTTTCTACTTTATTTGAAAGCAGATACCAGTGCTTCTGCAGCATCCTGTGAAGTTTGGTGTGGGACGTCTTATACCACAATGTGGTCTGTCAGGATGGTCACTGCAGGGATCTGGGCATTGGATAGGTAGTCACAGAAGCACAGTGCCTTCTTGGTGCCCAGGAAGTGCAGACCTGGCTTGTTTTCATGAGGAAAGCACCAGTGACTGGAGAGAGAGTCTGTCCACTGTGCTGGCAGTTTACTTGTTGAGACATCCCCTAACCATGCTGCCCAGGCTGGGCTCAAAAATCCTGGACTCCAGCGGCCCCTCCACCTCAGCCTCCCCTCCACCACAGCCTCCCCTAGCTTCTGGTTCTGTGTCTACAACATACAGAGGCCTTGTCACATCAAGGCCAGACAGAGATGCATGGCTAGTTTCTGTTTCTTCATCTATCTTCAGTCTATAAAATTTCATTGCTCATTCACCTATGGTTTCCACATTTTCCCTTATATGTTATACCTTCATTAAAATCACCTAAAATTAGAAAAAGTTATCTGGATTCAGTTTTTAAATGCTGGAGTAAGAACCATTTTCTTGCTAGGTACAGTGATGCAGGCCTGTAATAACAGTGGCTTGGGAGGCTGAGACAGGAGGATCGTGAGTTCAAAGCCAGCCTCAGCAATAGTGAGGCACTAAGCAACTCAGTGAGACCCTATCTCTAAATAAAATACAAAATAGGGCTGGGGTTGTGGTTCAGTGGTGAGTGCCCCTGAGTTCAATCCCCAGTATGGGGTGGGGGAGAACCACCCCTCCTTGATATTTCTTGATCATGGAAATATCTAAAACAACAACAAAAAACAGAAACCTAGATTTTGTGTCTGACCCATAACAAGATGCTGAGGAAGAATAGACAAATTCAGTGAAAATCAAACAAAAAATGAGAGAACTGCCTGAGCGGGGTCCTTGAAGACGACCAGCAGGGTTGCAGCAGCTGTGGTGGAGCGAAGGTGAGAGCCCTGTGCAGGAGCAGGCCCAAGCACAGATGTGGGCAAGGTCCCGCAGGCAGCTCCAGAGGTGAGTGTGCCAGGCCCATCAGGACACAGGGAGGCTGGGCAGAACACAGACCCAAGCCACGCTGTAACAAGTTTTCTTTCTTTTTTTAATATTTATTTTTTAGTTG